GACTGAGCTTGATAAGTATGTGGAGGAGCTGGTATGATGAGATTGCCTACAATGGCATATGGCCCATCTGTGACTGCTATTAACAAATATCTCCAACAGCCAGAAATGGGATAGTAGATGGGGAAGGTCTCTACCTTATTAGAGACAATTCTTTCCCCAGTGTCTCGCTGATGGGTCTCGCAAATATGCTTAGAGTCTAGCTGATCACCATATTTGGAGTCAGGAAGGAATTTTCCCCTAGGTCAGATTGGCATAGACCCTGGGGGGTTTTCATCTTCCTCTGCAGCTTGGGACACTTGAATTAGAGTAAATGGTGGATTCTCTGTAATTTGAAGTCTTTAAATCATGATTTGAGGATTTCAGTAACTCAGCCACAGGTTATGGGTCTATTATAGGAGTGGGTTGGTGAGGTTCTGTGGCCTGTGATGTGCAGGAGATCAGACTATAATCACAATGGTCCCTTCTGGCCTTGAAGTCTATGAGTCTGTAAATGAAGGGCAAAAATGGGGTGACTCAAATTGAGTATTTTTTTCCATAGACTAGCAGTGTACCTGATTTGTAGATATAGACTATATTTTAATGGAAACAAATCAAATCAGTAGCATCAGTCTCATCTCACCACCTGTCTAGACATTGTCAGCAGTGTAAGTACCAATCACCTTCTAAAACATTTTTTGTAGTAGTCTGTGAAACCAGGATTGAGCAATAATGAATCAGGGCAAAGCCCATCACTCTGCCTTCTGTATATCCTGTCAGGAAGATCACCATAAATTTACTATGAAAATTCTGTAATTTTAGCCTTCAGAATTAGGTGTTTGACATAAGTTTACTGCTGGTGAAAGATGGTAGATTGACAGCCCTGGAGGATGAAGACACCTGTTTATCCACAAAACAGGTACAGCATAAACAGTACAAGTTTCCCCACATTTCCTGGCCTTTTTGCTGCAACTCTGAACCTAGAAATAACACCTCTTGGTTATGCACCTGTGAGGGAGTTCAGCAAAAATTGGTTTTATTCCACTCCTTATGCACCAGATCCAGTATTTGCAGTAAAAGCAGCTTTGTGGTGAACCATAACATTTTAGATAATGCAAGCTATTTCAATTTTAATGTCTCTTTCATTATTTGACTAAAGCAAATGTGAATCCCAGCTGTGTTTTAATCCCACAAAAATGTTTTGACATTTTCTAAGCTTCATCATGTGTAAAAATGTTCTTAAGGTCAGTGCAGGAAACAAAGTCTAATTTAAAGCAGATGGAAAGGCTGAGGAATAAAGAATGAAGGACTAATCTCTCGTATTAAATGAAAGGATTTATAAATTTAATATGAGTTTTATGTTTTCCCACACCCCCTTCATTTTATGGTCATATGGGAGGAAATTGTCCCACTCTACGTGGCAGTCTTGAGGCCTTAGCTGGACTACAGTGTCCAGTTCTGGGCACCACACTTTAGGAAAGATGTGGACTAATTGGAGAAGGTCCAGAGGAGAGCAACAAAAATGATAAAATGTTTAGAAAACCTGACCTATGAGGAAAGGTTAAAAAAACTGGGCATGTTTAGTCTTGCGAAAGGAAGACTCGGGGTGGGGGAACTTGATAACAGTCTTCAAATATGTTAAGGGCTGTTATAAATAGGACTATGATCGATTGTCCTCCATGTTCACTGAAAGTAGGACAAGAAATAATGTGCTTAAACTGCAGCAAGGGAGATTTAGGTTAGATATTAGGGAAAACTTTCTAACTATGAGGGTTAAATTTTGGAATAGGATTCCAAGGGAGGTTGCAAAATCATAATCATTTGAGGTTTTTAAGAATAGGTTGAACAAACACATGTCAGGGATGGTCTAGGTTTGCTTGGTCTTGCCTCAGCAGAGGGGACAGGACTTCATGACTTCTTGAGGTCCCTTCCAGCCCTACGTTTCTATGATTGTAGATTGTTTGGTACTTCTAAAATCTCATTTTCTATTTTATTTACTTTTACTTCCTTGGCTTTTGGTATTCAAGTCTTCTCTTTTGCATTTGTCGTGATTTCTTTTAACGGAGATTCTTCTTACTTTGTTATAAGCATATAAGAATTAATGTATTCATACATAATTACTTTCACAATTACCCTACATTCCCAAGCACCCAAAAAAAATAAATTATATTGGCTGGAAGTTTCAGTTTTTAGTAGAAAATTATTACTGCTTGGTTTAAAAACGTATAATGGACGTTGAGATATATTGCCCTTAGCCACCGGGCATTATTCTCCCCACTTCCTTTCCCATCAATCATAATATTGTTCTTGGAGGCAGGGATCAGGTCTGAAAGGGCCAGAAATCTCATAAGAGTCTGCTTTCGTGAGCTTTCCAGCTCAATTTTGCAGACTCAGGTTTAAGATTCCTATCAGCATCCAAAGCTTGGGATGCTTATATGTCTCTAGACTCCAAACCTTTTGATGTTTCCCCTATCATTGGTCTCTCTCTCTCTTCTCTCTCATTTTAAAGATAATATGACTATTTTCTTCATCTTTGTTGTCTGATTAACTTAATTCTATAATTTAATAACCTAACATTAAATCAATGTGTTTATCAGCAAGCACTGCCCTATTTCTTCAATCTCTCTGCTAGAGCTTTTCCCCACTCCTCTTATATTTTAGGTAGGGAAACCTGGTTAGTTACTTTGTGCAAAGTGACAAATGAGATTGCATGTTTCCCATTGAAATGTATGTTTCTCCTCTAGGAATCTCAAAAGTAAACGTAGGCAATAATGTTTGTTTTGCTATGTAATATTTTTCATTAATAGGCACCTCAGATTTTTATATATTGCTTTTTACAAAGATACTTTTTGTGTTTTCATTAGGTATCTTCTCTTTCCCTCTCTTATTTTCTTATACATGTCTGCAGCCTCTGGGGAGTACAGTGATTCTGTATTAGTTTTGTTGTTCTGTTTAAAAAAACAAATGGTCTTTGTCTCCCCAAGGTAACATTCACAATTAAAATCTGTTTTCCTGTACACAATCCCAAGAAGTTTTTTCCCCTCTTTTGTAATTATTTCCTTTTTCTGTCTCCGAGAATAGAAAAACATTCCTTAGGGTGGTATACAGGGTTATAACCTTGAGGAATGATGTGAAATTAAGAAAAACAACATTTAGACTGAATACTGTGGGATGTATTAAGCTTCAAAATACTTTCCTGAGGAGATTGGGGAATCGCCATTACGGAAATGAGGATAGCAAGGGAAACATGCTCCCTTATATAGACTCACATGGAGCAGCCTCTGGCTTGAGGGAGGAGTTGTGTGGCTCCTCCACAAGCTAGTAACTTTTCCATATAGTTACTAGCTTGTGTGGAGTGAGCAGGCACATCCCAAGAGTGTGGTTCTTTTACTGATAACTGCTAAAAGTAACACCACTGTTTATCCAAAAAGGAGAAACAGAAAAGGTCATTCTTCCCAATGGAGAGCCACTTGTGTGAGGTTTTGCCAGATGGGAATGGGGTGGCATTGTCTTGCTTATCCATTCACTCTTCTCCCACTGATGACATTTGCACAAATCTTTTGTGAGGGCTCAGGGCACAGGTTTTTGGCGAAGGGGAAAGAGATGAATTTTGCCATATTTCTTTGCACCACATGTCTTTTCTAAAAGCTCGTTATTAGTTCTTTACCTCTGAATTAGGGGACACGGTGCACAGAAAACACACTTTTGTTTACATGCTTAGAATCATGTTCTTTGTTAATAAAGCTCTTGAAATAGCAACACTTGACAGGTGCCATCTTTCTCAATATAATACAGGTTTAATATGAGCTGATGTTGAGCTTGTGAGGAACACTGCTATAGCTATGAGAGTGTTTTCTCTTAAATTGACATATGGTTCAAGAAGCACCACTAAAAGCTAGAGGGAAAATAGCCAAAGGAGAAACTTTGTGTGTTTAAATCTACATGTTTATTGAATTTTTGTGTGTTTTAAACTATTTGAGCCTTAAAAGCCTATTTTAAAAGGTTTTGGTGTTTTTGTCATTCATAGTTTGCCAAAGGAGATAGTGAAGTAATCAGTTTTAAAACCTTGAGGATGGAAAAATGGTATACAGATGTGCTAAAGGGAGCAGGAAGATGATCTTTCATCTCCTACTCAAATTCAGATTATAGTTGTACCTAGCTAACTGTCATCAGCAACTGCAGCAAATGATGGCATCAATTCTGCAGATACTTCAATATGCTCTTAACTTCATTTGCATGAATAGAGTCAAGTGTGTAAAGTTATGCATGTGTTTAAAGCCTTTGCAAAATCAGGGCCTGTGGGAATTAGATGAGCAAATGATACTATCATATCTGCTTCTGTTTTCAATTGTCTCTCCAAAATGAGCATGTTCTCACAGATATTAAATCTTTAAAGACTTTATTTTCAATTACAAAGGCAAGCTGAAGCACTGTTTCTGCTGCATGACTTATGAGGAGCATAGCTGGTGGCCACCAATGGCAATCACAACACTGTCTATGCAAAAATGTGTTTGAAATAGAAAACCAGTTTTAAAATTACTAAAAAAAGAGGCCACACTGACTCGCTCTTTCAAAGTTGTAGCAATCTTTCAGGTTTGTAAACCGAAGAATAATTTAGGGAGATTTTATCATCTCAAACAAGTTGTACCCAGTGTCTCTGTGCAATCATTAATTAAAATAAACAACAAAAAATAATGCCCTGGGCTCTGTGCCAGCAGTGATTCCTTCATCCCATTCACTGCACTTGCATTGTGCATGCAGCCAAACAAGTCGTCTGGCATCATGACGCTGGGTGCCCTCTGAATGCTGTTTGGTGATACCCAGTTGGTACATTTCAAGTAGAATATGCGCAGGCAGCACGCCAACTCCTGCCTCACCTCCCTCATGTGTTGTTGGTTGTGTTTTAGTTTTAGTTTTGTTTTTTGTGCTGTAGCTTTCTGTGCAACTCCTAAAGTGCTTTGAAGATCTTAAATGTCTCACTCCAATCATTTCATTTGCTGAAGTTTTATTCTTTCTTTACGCAGTGATGTCTCCCGGACCAGTGTTGCTACCCTTCCAACAAAAGGACTGGAAAACCTTAAAGAACTGATGGCTAAAAATACATGGACACTGAAGAAACTACCTCCTGTAAAGACTTTTCTTCATCTAATGCGAGCTGACCTGTCCTATCCAAGCCACTGCTGTGCTTTCAAGAACTGGAAGAAAACCAAAGGGTGAGTGTTAGCAACTTCGATTAAATCATAAATCATATAATTAAAGAAGGATTAATTGATATTTTAATATATAATAATATAATAATTCTAGTTAATGGGTTTTGTAGCCATTTTTGAAATTATATAGTAGTGAAGAAGGACAGGTTTAAAATTAATAAAAAAATTACTTTTTCACGCAATACATAGTTAGTTTGTAGAACTCATTGCCACAAGATATTTTTGAGGCCAAGAGCTGAGCAGGATTCAGCACAGGATGAGATGTTTTTATAGATAACAACAATATCCAGAGTTGATATAGTAAGGATTTAAAAATAACCAAAAGTCTTGGAAGGGACATAAAACCTTGTGCTTCAGCCAGCCTCTAACTAAAAGGGTGAGGAGGACATTTTATTTGTGGCCAGGTTATTCCATAATTATCTTCTGCAAGGTTGCTTGCCTGTTCTTCTGAAGCAAGAGGTGCTGGCCACAGTTGGAGACAGGATACGGAAGTAGATGGACTGACGGTCTGATCCAGTCTGGCAAACCTATGTTCCTATAAGTAAAATTTAAACTTTATTGTAATTGGAGAGAAACTGTCATTACAGAGTTCAAGTTTAGATTTAAATGCAAACTTCTCCAAAGTTCAGAGCCAAGGGTCTTGCTCAGGCCAATCTCTGATACATGAAAAGAAAATAATATCTATCTATAGAATTTCTAGGATACCTATCGTATTTTAAACATTGGCGTAGATAGTATATTAATGGAATTCACAGATGATATTCGGTCATGGAGGAGTTTCAAACAACTTTGAGGACAGAAAACTACCACAAAGGGATGTACAGAGATTAGAAACATGAGCAGAAAGAAAGAAAATGAGATTCTCCTTTGAGAAAAGCAGCTCCAGTACATCTGGTGAAAGTCTGAAAGACAGTGAATGGGAGGGAGACAGCTGGGATGAGAAACACTGAAGGAAGTGTAGGGTGATAGCAGTCAGCAAATTCAATACACATTTGCAAGGTGTTACTGTAGTCAGAACATTGCTAATACTATTTGGGGCTACAAACATAGAAGCATTGCATCGTGGAGCAAGGTAATAGTTAGAGCCCCATATTTTTCACAACTACAGAATAACACAAAATAAAACTAGAAACAACATGTAAAATAGAAAAAACCTCCAGTGGCAATCCCTGTGGTTCCTGTCCTGCAGGGCACAGCCTGGCTCCCCTCACCGGTTATTCTGATCTGGCACGTAAGATTGCAGCTCCACTCAGATTTGGCCTGGCCTCTCCTCCATCATCATGACATGGGACAGCCAGACTAGATCTGAGTGAGTGTTGCAACTTGGAGCACAGGGCCATATCACTATTCACTCAAATTTGACCTAGCTGCCCCTCTGTCATGATGATGGAGGGGCACCTGAGCCAAATCTGAGTGGCGCTGTGACCCCATGCACAAGGTTGCAATTCCTGGAGCAGGGAGCTGGGCCCAGGCCTGCAGGACAGGAGCTGTCACTGCAGTGTGAGTGCATGTCCAGATCACTCTGCAACCTCTGCCCCCAAAGGCCTCTGACACCACACCACGCTGGGGGCAGGACCTGACACCTCCCGTGCCCCCCACCCCGCATGGATAAATCAAAACAAATAAAACTCTTGAAAAATAAACAAAACATTATAAAAACAAAAGAATTTCATGGGGCTCTAGTTATCGTTTCTCTGTGGCTACGCAGACAACATATGGAGTATTGTGCTGCGCTCTGGTGTCATAGTGTCAGTAAACTGTGGAGGAACAAATTGGAGGAAATACAGAGGAGAGCAAAAAAATGATTAAGAGGCTGGAGAGAATTGATTTATGCAGAAAGAAGAAAAGAATACAATGCTGTGTGCATTGATTAAACAATTATAAAGAACAGATGTAAGAGATCTATGAATTTTTGAAGGATGTAATCCCCGAGGAGGAAGAGGAATTATTTATGGTGGCACAATCAGTAACCACTAAGAATAATTGAATGAAATTAAGAAAGAAAAATGTAGGCCAAAATATCAGGAAAAACCTCCAGATAGTGACGTGAATTAGGCTGTGAAATAGCAACTCCGGGGAAGTGGTAGAGGCCCCATCACTTGGGATTTTTAAGGAGAAAGATGAAATTGTTATTGTAAATTATTGTAAGCATATCAAAGAAGTGAGAACTCAGATGCAGAGGACTGCAGCACTGTATATCGGTCTGCCAACATACAAAAAACTCTGTTGGGTATGCTCAAGATTCACCACATGGTCTTTTTACTAACAAAAATGTGTCAGGACAACATTCTGGTTCGTAGATATTTTAATTCAGATATTAATGATTAAAAAGTGTTTCCCTTGACATACCTGTTGTATACAAACAGAACTGCAAATTCCAGTGGTGATTTCACCCCTGTGCTCTTTCAGAATTCTGGAATACATGATGTGTAACCAGACCAGCAGTCACAGCTTTCGTAAGAAAAGATCCGTCAGTACCTTCAATGGCCCTTTTTACCAAGATTATGCAGAAGAGGATGCAGATCGCACTGACACAGTGTATGGTGAAAACTCCAAATTCAGGGATTTTCATGGCAACTCCCACTATTACGTTTTTTTTGAAGAGCAGGGGGATGGAGATGTTGGGTTTGGCCAAGAGCTCAAGAACCCTCAAGAGGACAATATCCAGGGGTTTGACAGCCATTATGACTATACTGTCTGTGGTGGCAGTGAAGACATTGTGTGCACTCCAGAGCCTGATGAGTTTAATCCCTGCGAAGACATAATGGGCTATAAATTTCTAAGGATTGTGGTGTGGTTTGTGAACCTGCTGGCTATCCTGGGTAACATTTTTGTCCTCTTCATCCTTCTCACCAGCCATTACAAGTTGACTGTCCCACGGTTTCTGATGTGCAACCTGGCTTTTGCTGATTTCTGCATGGGACTGTACCTTCTCCTGATTGCTTCGGTGGATCTCTACACTAGGTCAGAATACTACAACCATGCCATAGACTGGCAGACTGGGCCTGGCTGCAACACAGCTGGCTTTTTCACTGTCTTTGCCAGTGAGCTTTCTGTATATACACTGACTGTGATCACCCTGGAGCGCTGGTATGCCATCACCTTTGCTATGCGCCTGGACAGGAAGCTTCGCCTTCGGCATGCTTTGGTCATCATGCTGGGTGGTTGGCTCTCATGCTTTCTTCTCGCCCTCTTGCCACTGGTTGGAGTCAGCAGCTACATCAAAGTCAGTATCTGCCTGCCCATGGATACCGAAACACCGTTGGCTCAAGCCTACATTGTCTTTGTTTTAATGCTGAACATCATTGCCTTTATCATCATCTGTGCTTGCTACATAAAAATCTATATAACTGTGCGAAACCCTGAGTACAAGTCTGGAGACAAAGACACCAAAATTGCTAAAAGGATGGCTGTGTTGATTTTCACTGACTTCCTATGCATGGCACCTATCTCATTCTATGCTTTGTCTGCCATTATGAACAAGCCCTTGATAACAGTCAGTAATTCCAAGATCCTGCTAGTGCTGTTCTACCCACTCAATTCTTGTGCCAACCCATTCCTCTATGCTATTTTCACCAAGGCTTTCCGAAGGGATGTCTTCATCCTGCTCAGCAAATTTGGCGTATGTGAGCATCAGGCTCAAATCTACCGTGGCCAGACAGTCTCAGCCAAAAACAGCAGTGGTTCTTATGGCCAGAAAGGTAGCCGAGGGACAGGTCAGGACTACCATGACCCACAAGATGACTATCACCCTGCAATTGCGATGCAAGAGCAAATTGTTGTGGAAGACTGTACGCTGACTGTGTTATAGCACCTGAAAGCATTACAACTGCAGTGCGATCAATCAGATGGTAATTTAGTGATCCAAAAAAAAAAATTCAGTGATAAGATACAATTTTTCCTAGTTGTTTTTTGAGGAACATCTGTAGTGATTTTTCTTTTGAGGGAGCCATTCACTTGAATCTCCAATCTTATACCACTGGCAGTGTAAGAGAGAAGGTGCCAGTTATGATGACAATACTGGAAGCATATATGAAAACTCAGTATAAATCAGAAAGTGAACATATATATATGAAATTTTAAACATGCATTCTTCTCTAATTGTCTAAAGGGAAAGGGAGACAGCATAAATTTAGGGGATACTTGTACAAAAAAATAGAATTTTTAGATTTATAATTAAACTGGAGTTAATAAAAAAATAAAAATTAGATAATGAATTATTCAACTTCTAGATCACATTGGTCAGGCTGGCTTGCTTCCTTTTTTTCTTTTTTTTTTTTTAAATCAGAAGATTTATTTGTTTTTCTAATTGCCAGTTTTCTGCACTGGGTTCTTTCTGCTCCTGTTACCATCACTTGTCATAAAAATTCTGCAGTTGGAATTAAGTTTACAGTTTTGTTTAAACTGTGTAAGGCAGAATAGAATCTAGCTGGCTTTCCCATCACTCATGTTGCCTCTGTAGGCCAAACAACAGTAAAAAACATTTTTTTAATAAGTTAAAGAGCAGATAGTAAGGCTTTAACTTCTTTTTTCTTTGTGTGTAGGGAAAAACTTCCTGACTCTCTCTCACAAATGGGGGGATTCTGACTTTTTGAGGTGAGTTTAGGGGGAGATTTATTTTGAATTTCTTTTTGGAAACCTGTCTGTCCAAACTAATGGGTTCAGATCCCAATTTTACTGATGGTGATAGTTACTTCCTTTCGAAGCTGAAAGAAACTCAAATGAAATTTTGATACTAAAAATTAAGCAATTTTCTTCCTCTAATGTTGGTTTTTATCTAGTCATCTGAGTATAGTATAAGTATTTGGCACTTTAGGATATGTCTACACTGCAAAGAGAAGATGTGACTGTAGCACAGGTAGGCATATGTAGCACAGATACGCAGCTTTTATCTAGCCAGCATGGGTAATAATCAGGGGTGAAAGTAACTTAAAGGACTTTCCGGTATGCCAGAGTCCTGAGCGGGGGTGTGGCCTCAACCGGAAGAGGCGGGGCCTTGGGCCCTTTAAATCACTGCGGCGGAAGCCGGTCCAGTCCGGCATGGTGTACTGGCTCTTGCCGGTACGGTTGTACCGGACCAGACCGGCTTACTTTCACCTCTGGTAATAATAGCAGTGTAGATGTGGTGGCATGAGTTTCAGTATGGGCTAGCAACCAGAGTAGAAGCCCTCCAGCAGTATGGGATAGGACACTGTGATCATGACAGCCACTCCCTGATGCCTATTTGCAAGCCACAGTCCCTCACATTGCACAGTGACTTTAAAGAGAATGTGCAAAAGGAGAAGTGGCTTTGTTCCTTTTGTTGCTTCTTTATGGCATACAGTCACACAGCAGCAAGAAAAGGTTATAGCTGCCAAGTATTTTGCAGCTCCACATGTGACATTTATCACAGATGAAAAGGAATCGTCATTCTTTGCCACATGGTCCTACTACCACTGTTCAGGGCGGAGAGGTGTCATTTGGGGATGGTGGCGATGTTCTCACTGCTGAGGAATGTCACACAAGGAGCTACATAAAACTTCATCCCCTCATTTTCCCCCCAAAAGGCAACTATTTCCTACTGTCACCCAAAAGTCAATTTACATTCCCTACCTCCCCATGTGTAGGGTGACCAGACATCCTGTTTTTAAAGGGACAGTCCCGTATTTAAGCCCTCCTGCAAGTGTCCTGACTTATTAAAAATGGGCAAATTGTCTCATATTTTCTGCCTTCTGCCCCCCATCAATTCTGGCGGGTCCTGCTGCTGGTCAGATCCCTGCTCACCAGCCGCCTGCCCACCAGCAATGAGTGAGGGGGGTCCAGTGGCCAACAGTGGGGGTGGGTGTGCAAGGCTGGTGGCGGGGCAAACCTGCTGTGCACAAGGCTGGCCGCTCCTCCTGCTGGTCTGACAGCACAGCCCCGCTGCGTGCTGGCTCTCGGCCAGCAGGGCCTGAGTTCCTGTCCTGTTTCTGGCCAGCACTGGTTGTGCACTGTGAGCTGCGGTAGCTGGTGAATGAGGGCAGGCGCCAGGCAGCAGCTGGTTACATGTCGCCTCTGCTGTCCACCCATCAGCCTTTTACGTGCTCTCCCTCTTGCTATCCTCTCCTGCTTTGCTCCTTCACCCCACCTAGCCCAGTTTCTCCTCCATATCCCCCCCGGCATGGCGCATCCCACTCCCAGTGCTGTGCAGAGAACCAGCCCCTGGTTGGAGTGCTCAGTTCGCCAACAGCTTGGCCACCAGGCTCCTTCCTTCCCCCACTGCCTCTGGCTGGGCTGGCGCCCCGGGAAAGCCCAGGACCCTCCGGCCCGGGGTGCTGGCCAAGAGAAGCTGAGCCCTGCATGTGCCAAAGCCTTTCTGCCCCTCAGCTAAGCTCTGGAGTGGTGGTGGGATTCGATATCCAGGCTGTTCGCACGCTGACTCTGCAGGCTCCACAGCAGCCCTACCTTCACCTGCCCCTCCCCCCGCCCTGGGTCCTGCCCCCAGGGAGCACAGGGCTGCTTTGTCCCCTAATCATGAGACCCTGTGTGCCCCCCCCCCCCAACTTGTTGCATCGGGAAGACGCAGTGCCAGATACCAGGAGGGCGGAGAGCGCCGGGCAGGGAGGGTCGGGTTGGTCGGTCACACCCCCGTGCGAGAAGTGTACGGGAATATGTGTGTGTCATCTCTCCCCGTGTGAACCCTAAAGCCTTAAAGATAACAAGGTAAATGCAAAGAATCCAACTACGCAGTATTTCTAACAGGCGCGCAGTCAACTTGATGTTAATTTGAACTTTTGTACTGCATAGTTCTGATTGATTGCCTTTGAACTCGCTTGAATACAAGTAATTTTACCAGGTGTCCCGTATTCATCACAGGGAAATATGGTCACCGTACCCATGTGCCCTGCCGCTGCTGCCCCTGTTCCATCTACTCTGCTAGGCACCAGGAAGCACTTGGATGGGATTTAGGGGTGCAGGAAAAGGTGCTGGAATATTTATTGCCCTTTGCCCCATGTGGGGGAAGAAACAGCAGCAACCCCAAGAGGAGGGGAGCCCTGAAGAAGGACAGTTGCAAGCAGAGAAGACGGGGTAGAGGAAACTCCTTGTAGCAATGTCCACCCTCCCAGCAGTGGGAGATGTTGAGGGCAGTAGGGGAATTCCTCCATTTGGCAAGCGATGGGGAGGGAGAGCTGGGAGTTTGGCCCAGCCTGTGCTAAGCACAGCCCTGAGAAAGTTTCTGCCCCAGTAGTAAGGGATTCCCATACCCATATTTGGGCTTCGCCCTGCCTTTAAAAGGAAAGGCCCACCACTCAGCTAGCCCAGTGTGGGAGTTGGCTGGACCAGCCCAGCAGGAAGAGAAAGGTCAGCCTCCCTATGTGGATTGGGGTGGGGGCAGTGGCCCCCTGTGGAGAACCCCAAAGAATGAAAATGGAGTGACAGGGAACTGCTGCTCCAAGAAGATGGGAGAGGTGGGGAGAGAACAAGGCCACCAGCCCTCCCTTCCTTCTGTAAGAAGACAACAAGGGTTACTCCTTAGGGGTCTGAGATGGAATTTATGGGATGGGACAATTGAGGATTGGGGGTTGAAGCAGCGCAGGAAGTTGAAGGAGTCAGGGGGAAAGAGCTCTGGGTAATTTTGGGTGGATCAGGAGCACAATGGATCTGGTGCACTGGGGAACAGGGAAATGGGGTAGTTAAAGTACTGGATCATCTGGGGTCAGAAGTTGGCTCAAAGATTTGGATAAGGAGTCCAGTACTGGCACAGCTGCTCAATCTTTACTTGCTCCCTTTCCACCAGAGAAAGCCAGCATGTATTGTGCATGTGCAATGTGGGGAGGAGCAGCTGCTTATCTCCCTTCCCCCCAACTCATCCCCTTATTGTGTCACTAGCACATCTTTAAGGAAGAGGCTGTACAGATTTTATCAGGGTGTATTTCCCATACACAAGAGACTGCTTGGGGGGTAAGCTCAAAGGTGTCTGAGAGAGAGGCTGGCTGGTGAGCAATAAATAAAGACTGGAACACTGATGGAACAAAGGTAAGTGGTACCAGAAGATGCCTAATGATTCTGCCAAATGGCTGGGTTGCAAGCAACTAACTTGCTACTAGAATAGCAGCTCCAGTGTGTAGCTTAGAGGGGAGCAAAAGTAAGCCTGCCAGGAATCATGTGAGAAACACATGTGATACTTTCCAGCACAGCTGGAACAGGGAAGGGTCCAAGAGCCTGACCCCAAAGGGAAATGGTGCTGGTGCTTTAAGGGAATGAGTTTGGATGGAGGAACAGCTACAGCTTCCCAGCTGCACTTTCATTGCATGTGGCTGCCCCTTTTTCACTCACAAGGGAACAAGCAGAGGAAGCCCAGAGCCCAATGAAGACCCTCCCCCCTCAGACTCTGATTGCCCCTCCTTCCCTGCTGCTCAGGATTCCACTGTCCTAAGAGTTCCTCACCCCCTCAAATACTCCAGCCCCAGTTCCCTCAGAACTCATGTTGCTCCAGACTCAAAAGTGCTCCCATCCCAGCTTCCCAAGATTTCTGAAGTGTCCCAGGCCCCTCCAGGCTCACAACGGGTCCCCAGCTCAACTCAGAACTCATCTTTGGAGTCATATGAGGGAGCCTGGTGGCCTTTTCCCTCCCTTCCCTTCCTGTGTTCTGGGAGTGACCAGCAAGACTGGCCTCTTGTTTATTTGGGGGATCTGCCCCCAAATTGTGACATTTTATTTTCAAAGGGGGGGGCCCTACTCCTGCTGGACAAGCCTAATTGGCTCCCATCTGGAGTGTCTTGCCTTTTATAGAGGAGTTCTCCTGCTAAAAGAAGCCTGAACTTGGAAGGTTTCCTCTGCCTGCTGTGAGAGGGGCCTCCCAAGTCCTACACCTATCAAAGGAACAGGGCCGGCTCTAGCGTTTTTGCCGCCCCAAGCAGGAAAAAAAAAAAGCCGCGATTGCAAGCGGCGACAGCTCTACGGCCACTTCATTCTACGGCGGCAATTTGGCGGCAGGTCCTTAGCTCCGAGTGGGAGTGACGGCCTCACCGCCAAATGGCCGGACGGGCCGCCCCCCTCTTCATTGGCCGCCCCAGGCACCTGCTTGCTAGGCTGGTGCCTGGAGCCGGCCCTGCAAAGGAAGCACCAAGGCCTTTTGGCTGCACCTGCACACTAT